ATAAAAGCTAAGGTCGCAGAGTTTGAAGCACGTTTTGGCATGGTACAGGCATTTGGAAGCATTGATGGCACACACATTCCAGTTCTAAGACCAATTGTTGACTCTGAAGGTTATTTTAATTATAAACAATTTTTCTCTATCAGTGTACAAGCAGTGTGCAATGTTAAAGGCTATTTCATGGATGTAGAGTGCAGATGGCCAGGTAGTGTCCATGATGAAAAGGTATTTTTAAATTCCTTTGTAAGGAATAAGTTACAATCTGGTGAACTACCACAAACCTTCAACCATCTACTACCTGGTCATAACCCTATTCCAAACTATGTTATTGGTGACCCTGCTTATCCTTTAACACCAAATTGTATAAAAGAATTTCAGTCATGCAAGACTGATGCCGAGGTGATTTTTAATAACATGTAAATTTCCCCCGAAACCCTATAGGGTGCGCATTTGGTCGTCTAACGGCGAGGTGGTTGATTCTAACAAGAAAAATGGATCTCAAACTGGAAACAATTCCAAAAGTTGTTTTGTCATGTTTTATGCTCCACAACTTTTGTGAGCTTCACAATGATACCATTGACGAAGAACTTGTTAGAAACCAAGTTGCAAGAAACAGATCAATGGAGACTGTTTACCAAAATGTTCCTGATCCAGTTTATTCTTGCACTACTCAGGAAGGTGAAGCTATAAGGGATGTCTTACACAATATATACAAGTAAACCTACCTGATAACAACTAAAGTACCATCAAAAGTACCTCCTTGTAATATATAATAATATGTTGATTAACTAATAAACAACTCAAATAAATGTTAGTCAAAATGCTTTGTTGTTAGCAATTTATTAAGACAGTATAATATAATACTAGAAATACATTGCATGCAAAGTCCCCTCACCTAAAGTAATAAACATATATTTCCATCACTGAAGTGAAATGCTATAATACTCGTTTCTGCTGAATAGTCAAAGTTGTAAAGTAAAATCCTATATCTTGGTACAATTACAAAGTCGACTCTCCAGCTATCAAATTTGACTATAATCATATTAATAAATTGTGCTACGAATAGTTTTAAATACTACAATTTTTAGCAAAATTTCAATTACTTTTTAAACAGATTCACCTTTAAAAATAAATACTTTCTTCCAAATCAAAATCATTTCAACGAAATTGACGAATAAATTCAAAACTTACAAAATACTTGCATGGTTTAAAATACAAAATCTACCCATTTACCTGTTCAACAGCACTTCAAAAATGCCTCAAAATTGTAGTTTTTTTACCATCCATTTGAATGAAAGTTTTTCTAACCGAAGGCATTTTTTTCACTTATATTTTAATCAATTTTACGAGTCAATTTTTCGTATATTTTTAAGACCATCCAAATGAAAAATATTATTTAAAAAAAGTTTTATCAGTTATCCTGACGTGATCCAAATTTTAATTTAGCCAATTGCACGTTTGTAAACGTTTGCTAATTACCAGTTTTAACTCGTCTTAAACTCACGCATGTGCATAACTTACAAAAACGCCCAACGTCCATGACATAATGGCGGACAACTTTCATTTCGCATTTCCATTCCCGGGCGTAATTAAAATCTCCGGGCGGAATTAGTGCCCTCACGGCTTGGGGATGAACATTAAAATATGAACATTAATGGTATTGTACATGACCACATTTAGCTAAAAAACCCAATTAAATATCAATGTGAAAACAAATAACTTTAATTAATCACCATGGCATGTTTTGCGTTTAAAACTTATAAAAAGTTTGTTGCTCATTATCTTCATTCTCGCTGTTATTACTACCAGGTGCCATAGGATAAAATTGTGTTGCAGGATTGTAAATGTAATTACCCTGTTGGATTATGTTGGGCATGGACTGAATATTGCCTGGAATGTGGGCAGGGGCCATATGATTCATATACTGTGGTGCTGCACCATGTTCAATTGATCTTGGCACTCATGGCCTTCATAGACTCAGTAAATATATTATTAGATTCCTTTAGAGAACTTGATAAATCGTTGCAAAATTTTTTCTCTTCTTGACTTTCTTGCATGAGTAACTTGTCCCTTTGTGCTGCTGATAACTGTCTTTCCATATGTTGCCGTTTATTGTCTATGAGTATTGGAACTTGGTTTGAAGCCAGGCGTTTACGGGTTGTCACTTCATTATTTGCACTACTGGTACCAACTACATTATTACCAAGAGAAATAGTTAGGAAATCATCAGAATCATATTCATTTTCTTCAGTTCCTAAACCAGAATTACCAGATATATCAACACCTTGTTCTTGACTTTCGTCTGCTTGACCAGTTGAATAAGCACCAAAAGAAAGAGGCTCAGTGGATGGAGCCCCATCCCGTACAGGGCTCAAAATAACAGTCAAAATATCAGCGGTCAAAATGCCGGTCAAATTTATTTTAGCTCGGTCAAAATAGCTTTTTAACCGGTCATGCACTAATACAAATAATTTAAAATAAAGACAAGATCAAAAAATGTTTTCAGTCATACAGATTCTTATTTTTGACATTTTAAATGCTCAATTTGAGGAGGAAAATTGATGTTTCGTGCATCGCCTTTCTATAGTGGTATCGGTAAAATCATTAGAATTATAGTTTGAAAACGTTGGCACAAAACACACATGAATATCGTGTATTAGTAATAACTTGCACGTACAAGAAAAACTCAACTGAACATCTCCATCGGTTATAGAGATGGTAATCAGTAAATAAGATTATAAAACAAACTTTTAAAAATAGACTTGAATTACATAAATGACGTAGACATAACACTTTTCACTATTGCCTTGCATAAAGGCCAAGAACAAACACTGTTTTTCCGCATATGCATAAATTGATTTAGGTCTTTTTTTGCGTACAATAATTGCATTTTCGACAAGAAATCTAGTCTTCCTTAAACAGCACTGAAAAGAGCACTGATTAGTTAATTTTTCCGAAAGACTTGAAAACTTGGCCAGTCAAAATGACCGGCATAGTAAGACAGTGACCGGTCAAAAAGCATTCTTGGCCGGTCATTGTCCGTTGACCGGCTGTTATTTTGAGCCCTGCCATATAAGGGCCATTAAGTCATAGAACTCCATGACCATCTTACCACATCCTGAGCGTCTGCCAGATGTCACAGCAGCGCTAAATTTCTGCCTTAACGCCTTGATTTTTTCTACGCCACTTTAAATACTCATCACGATCTTCGCCGTCTTCGATTGGTGTGATATTCTCTGGGCCAAAAAGTGTTGTATCTTCGAAATACTTGGAAGCCAGAATTACCCGTACTGCCTTGTATTGTTTATTTTTGTCAGCATCTATGTAATACCATAATAGGTTCTTCGCGCCCATAGTTACGGCTGCAGAACCTTGAAACATTGTCTCTAAATCATTCTTCGGATTTCAAAGCCATTCACCTTTAGAGTTTGTTTGATCTTTTCAACAGTATCGCTATCCAATTTTTTGGACAGCTGTTCTATAAATACGTCTAATTCGGACATTTTTACGGCTTCCCCTACCAAGTTCGCTGTAAATACCTACAGAAGTAGGTACGAAAGTTGGCTACGTAATTCGAAACATAGTTCCCAATTTCCTAATGTACTTCGCAACTCGGCGCGGAAAAGTAATCTGAAATTGACGGTAAAAGACAAGGCCCTTTTGATCTTCGTTTTGTCAACAATTTTTATTAGTCCATTACTTTGATGTAATATAAAAGTAAATGATTGTAAATGAAACCTTTTTATAAACATATAGTTTTATTACTTCCCGGATAAAAGAGGCCAGGCTAAATTTTATCCACAAAAAGAATTGTTCTCAAATGACTGATGTTAAATATTCAGAACTTCCTTATAACTGATTATTATTGTTTATGATTATTGTTTTTTAGCCATCTGATTATGAGGAGAATGACAAATGCTTTATATTTTAAAGGACATTGGCAACGAAAATTTTTATTGCTAGTCTGTGTTAACCATACCTAAGGAATACTTAATTTCGTATTTTTACTTGCCTATCGCATTTAGTTGTTGAGAAATGTTACAATAAAGTTGAAGCCTATTTATGTTTTGTCTGCCATCTTGAAAATAAACGCGTATGCTAATTTATGCATGATTACATTTCTGACGTCATTGGCTGGGTTAAGGCCAACATATACACATATATACCTAGCATATATACAACACAACACTGTCTTTACGGTAGTTGTTCGCGGTACCTAGCAAATACAATTAACTAATAATACAAAAAGTAAATATGCGGATATGTTTTCAACAATTGTTGCAATAAACTTGTCTATTTGTGCTGCTCCCATACTATTATAGAGCGCGATTATACGGAAAGTCAAGCCAGACGTATAACATATTTGTGGACCGGGTTTCTTTGGCCACTAATTTTGAAAATCACACCATGTCAATACTATAGAAGCATACAGGTCAAAACAGACCGAACGCGATGCGGCATCACGGCGCGAATTTTCAGTTTTTAGAAGCAAATAAATAAAATTCAGGCAGCAAAACGTGGAATCTATAGACATCAAAGCAATGCATTATCGTCGCCTTGCCAAATTGCATCCTGTTTGTGTGAGCCTTACACCGGGCGCGATGCACCAAGGCACCGCGAATTTTTAGTTTTCACTTTTCTGTGGCAGCTAAATTGAATTCCGAACGCAAATTTTGGAAGGTATGTATGCCAGAGCAGTCAAAATTTACTATCATTGAGTAATCTGCAAGAATATCATGAAAGGATAAAATTTATTAGCTTCGTTGCCAAATCGTTTGCGGTCTTGTGTGGGCCTTTAGTGGCGGGAAATGAGTAAATTTAATATCAATTCATCCGGATACACCTTTGATATTTTTTAACGTTCTTCCGCTTTGGCGTGGTCTGATAAAGAAACAATAATTATCTGCACAGGCGTTGAAAGGTAGTAAAACAGCATTTTTTCCAACAATAGCCGTGCAATGCAAGCGTATGCTCATTCTTGCTGGCAATGCGAAGGGGCCAACATGTATTGTCCGGTATACGGTTGTAAAAGTGACTTTAAAAAAAACACGAGCGGTGTACATTTTTTTCGGTTTCCAAGTGGGAAATCAGGACCGCAGCAAAGGAGGAGAAAGGTTTGGGTTGAATTTTGCAAACGCAAAAATTTCAATCCATTAGCCAACAGTAGAATCTGTTCGCTTCATTTTGCCAAAGACGCCTACGAAGCAGGGCATTCGCCGCAATTTCTGGAGCGAATAGAGTGCAAGGAAGCGTTTCGAATACGTTTGAAGAGCGATGCCGTGCCAACACTAAATAAAGCATTGCCCGAAACTACGACAAGCTCCAGCAAAACAAGGACGCATACGGAGAAAAGACGACGAAAAAAGGTAACAATTTTTGCTTAAAAGCCTATGTATATATTTTACACGTGGGCCTTGTAGTGTAAGCAATATATAGGTGGCGTACAAACATTCATAAAAATTTTTATTCTAAACAACCATTACTTTTCAATATCTGAAGGCAATCGATGATCTTATAAATACCGGCGAAGTAGAAAGAAAAGAATCTTCAAGTGAAAACGAATTTGAAGGACTAGAAAGTCAAAGCGTGCCAAGTTTGGAGCCATATGAGGAATTGCAAAATCAGCCTGGGACAAGCAAAACGAGTGAGATGTTCGAGACTGAAATACTGTTCACAAACTCAAAAGAAAAGTATACACAGACGTCAAAAAGGAAAACAGCAACAAGATCAGTTAAAACGCAAACACAAATGACATCAGCTTCAAATTTTTTTCAAACACCAAGAGCGACAAGATCGGCCGGGACACAGACAGTAATGATATCAGACATGACTTGCCTACAGGGGTATTCGACAACTTTGCCTTTACACAGTTCGGATGCGCAACCGGTAGACAGTGTTACGGCTATCACAGTAGATTCGACGAGAAATTTAGTAACAGAGGTTGACCTTGAGAGCGTCAAGAGTGGCAGTTCGAGTGAAGAAGCAGTCACATTGCACAGTGACTTGGCAATTCCAACTGACACATCACCAACTGAAAGCGAAGAAAGCAGCGAAGAGGACATGGATTTTGAAAAACGCAAAGTACTAACAGATGGAAAACCCCCCCAAGAACAAATGAAATTTATCGTCTTCGAAGAAGCAATTCTGGATGTTTTCGGTAAATGTATTCAATGTGGTGAAAAATGTGTTTTGACCATAGAAAGTAAAATTGGCTCATCATGCAGAATTGGCATCACGTGTTCCATTCAGTCTGAACATTCCTTTGAGTGGTCAACTGCTCCATCCCTGTCCAAGATGCCAGCATTCCATTTGCTGTTGGCATCTGGCATTCTTGCAACAGGCATGGAATCGTCGAAAGTTCTTCGACTTTTCAATGCGTTAAATATTCCTAACTTGCAGCAACGGGAGTTGTCAAATATATTAAAGAATTATGTAATTCCCGCGGTTTATAAAGTTTGGCAAGAGGAACAGTCTGCAAGGTTGCGTGAAATTGAAGGTCAAAAAATTGTGGTAGCATCTGATATGCGTGTTGACAGTCCAGGTCACAGTGGCCTATTTGGTTCAGGAAGTACGCTTGACGTAGGAAAAAATGTTGTATTGGATACCCAAGTAATCAAGGTAGTCCTAAACTTGCAGTAATTGTACTAAAATAGGGCATTTTCAAATACAGAAATTCTATTGACATTTGACAATTATTGTATTTAACAATTCTTTATATTTGACAGTCTACAGAAGTAAAAAACTCCAATGCAATGGAACTTGAATCACTAAAACGACAGCTGAAATACCTGGAGGATAACAGAATTGAAGTAGAAAAACTAGTAACAGATCGGCACGTTCAAGTATCTACGTATATGGCTAACGAGAAACCAGAGGTGGAACACTCCTATGATGTATGGCATGTGGCAAAAGGTATGATTCACTTTCAAAAGTAATTCATGTGATCCACTTTATGTGATCCCCCAAACCAACAATATTCAGACTATATCTTGCAATTAATTATATACTTTATTATATTATTATATACAGTGTAATTAATTATATACTATAAGTAGTTTTTATTTACAATTATTTTTTTATCATTTGAAGGTGAAAAAAAGAAACTGACTAAAGTTGCGAAGAAGAAAAAATTTAAGAAAATTAAGCCTTGGATTGGGGTTAGTAATAAATCAAACAGATTTTAAACATACATAATATTGGATAAAAAATATATTGATTTGTGTAAGTGTACAATTTTAAAATATTATTGCCAATCTCATTCACTCTTTATTTTATACTTTTCAGTCAATTATTAATCATATTTACTGGGTTGCTGACTCGAGTGAAACCGAAGATGAAAGAGTAGAGAAATGGCTCAGCATTCTCAATCACATTGTCAACATTCATCAACATGCTGAGCACAGCATCTTTGTTGAATGTCTTCATGGACCAGTTGAAAGAGATTGGCTTAAAAAAGGTTAGTAAGGCTAAATAAAAAATATAATTAAATCCATGTTGGCAATGTATATTATATAATATTTTATTCATTACAGGCTCAGCAGCTTACAAAAAGTTAGAAGAAATGGTAACTAGGCCTCGACTTATTGCTGCAATCCGCAAGTTATCTAAGTATCACCAAACATCAGGCTTGGAGGCCAAACATGCTTTAGATAACTTGTTTGCTTCAAAGAATACCTATCACTCTTATCATTCCCTGAGTGCAAGGTTAATTTTTTTAAACTTTGTATATTTTACCCAAGTATTGCATAATATTATATGTAGCTGCTCATCATTTTCTTATAATATTTAGATTGTACTGCTCAAACTTGCACTACAATGAGAACAGCAATAGGAAGCAAGCAACAACTGCTGATGGAAAGTTAAGATGGGCAATTTCTTATCCAAAAGCCTTCAAAGGGGAGAAAGCAGTTCCAAAACCTTTAAAGGAAAAGCCAACCTATAGTAAGTATTGACACCATATTTTTAGGTTCACCTAACATACCATTATCCAATCCAATATATAAATTAAGAAACTTTTAACATCTGATTTAACAGAATATATACACTTGATATTAAACAAAGTCATTGAGATGAGAAGCCAGTATCCTTCACTGAAGAAAGCTAGAGTTTATGCAAATGATATGCTACCTGCTGAACCACAATCTCTAGTTGAAAAGTATTTGGCAGAAAGGGAGAGACCATCAAAGGAGCATGTTGTGGCCAGCAGAAAATCAAGGTTTAGCACACCAGCTTTACCTATAAGTGAAGAAAGAAGAAATAATAAGCCTTGTGCTTGTAAAGGAAAATGTGCTACTAGAAAGTGTGATTGCCGGGCATTGGAAGTGATCTGTGACAGCAAATGTAAATGTAAAGTAGCAAAAAGTATAAATCGAGAATGAAACAAATTTTAGACCATGTAAAGTCTGTTCTACACACCAGGTCTGCTTTGGGTGCCACAGCTATATGTTTTACTGCTATATTTGCAAATAAAGCAATTCCAAATGAAATCAAAGTGTTTGTTCACATTATGGAGTTTACATGCTCTATAAATTTATGTGAATATAAATACATGCACAGAATGCACATAGGCAGAGAGGATTATTTCACAGGGGTTAGTTAGTTCCATTTAACTTGAATATAGCAAATTAAAATATTACCTCTTTGATGTTTTGGCATATTTAAAATGCGTATAGAGACCATCCGGCGAAGCAAAGCAGTCTCGTATGCTTGCATATACACAGGCAGGAAACGGTCTGCGCCTCTTTTTCCCCAATATCTGGAAAATCCAGCGTGAGCATCGTTGGTATGAGACTAAACGGTAGAGCTTGTGAATCTTTTCCAAATCCCCATCGTCTAAAGGCCAATTTTCTTCGAGATAGCGACAAACATCTATCTTCAGCACGCCTTTGGACAACATGTTGTCTCGAAAGTCCGGATGTAACGTCAAACACTTTTCGCCCTGTGCTTCTGTTTCATCAAGTAAAACTTCATACTCGCCATACTCAACTGCTTTTTCATGGCAACAAAAACACTCAATAGTTTTCGCTGACAATGCACATCGACCACATTTGCACCAACTTAAAGTTTCCAGACGCCACGCGTTCGCTATTTCGAAATTGTTATCGACTTCATCCTCAGACGAAGACAAAACACTACCTCGTTCCGAATCGCTTTCATCACTCAAATCACTTGTTTCTGCCCCCGTTTCTGGCTCAAATTGGTAAGGCAAGACTTCGTCTACTTGGTTTTCGTGAATTTTTTCCATCACAATACTAAAATTTCTAAAAAGCCAGCCAAGCGCCGTATAAAGATATATTGCTGTTTGTTTTAACCCAGCCAATGACGTCACAACAAGTCATGTGACCCATAGATAATTTTTTACGGATTTCATCAAAGATGGCGGAATAAGTGATAAATTGTTACATGTTTAGCTGCAAATAACTCCTGAGCAAAGGAGTTCTGTAAAAAAATAATTTCATATCCAGTGTTAACTGACCAAACTTTGTCGTAATAGGGAATAAAAATTTTCGTTGCCAATGTCCTTTAAATGAATATGAGTCAACAAAATGCATTGTTTTAAGCTAACAGAATTTATGAATGGATTATATAATTATTACCTTATTTTATATACATAAATTGTGTATAATGTCCTGGGGCTGGTTGTTCGAAGGGTATTTAGCTTAAATGTCAGATAAGTTGAAGTGGAAAACAAAATGGAAAATAAAATTATCTCTTTATTGGACAAGCAAGTTGATACATTTGTAAATAAACCATTTTCGTACTTTTCGTCTTCGTCGTACTTTTCGTCTTTTTACATACATGTATATATGTAAATCACAAAATAAACTTTGGTAACTATATCAACATTTATTCACATCCTACGTTTCGGGGCATGCCCCTTCTTGAAGGATGAATATAGAAGTCAATGGCCTAATGTCCTTTATATACCTATAGTAATTACCCTACATATTATTCAAAGTCTCTTACATTTAATCCCCGAGGTACAAACGAATCTAATTTGTATACCCAAAATGCCTCCTTTTGAGTAGGCTTATCAACATTGGTCTTATCAATAATGATAACCCTCACATCCCTTAAATCTTTATGCCCAAGGCCAAAAAAATGTGTCATAAAAATGATGAATTTATAAAACTAAAGGGAATAAAATGTTTTTTACTTTCATTATACTCTAGAACTTTGTCAAACATTGCGTATAGTAAATGGTAAATGTGGCCAGATGTAGCCTGGCAATCGTTTTGCATTGCGTGTACAAAAACCTTTGATACAAGACGAAATGACTTGGTAAAAAAAGATGTCAACTATTTATACAATAACATAAAAGTATGGGCCGCTCATTTCGAGGACGAAATAAAAAAGATTGACCACCGTCGCTATCCTGACCTTGTTTGCTGTCCCAAACCCGCCGCCACGAATTGGTATGAAAAGGAAACTCTTAACACGGGAAGCGACAAAAGACGCCATATCTAGTAGGAAAACGGTTTATTTACAAATACAATATGTCAATATAAACTATATTTTTACATGCATGGTTTAACAAAAGTTATCTCTAAATCACAAAAATTTAGGCAAGAAAAGAAAAGTTATTAAAATCACACGAGTTACGCGTGAAATTTCACTACAGAAAGGTATTTAAAATAACGCTACAAAAACAAAACTTGCGACATTTTTTTCTGTTTACATTCTGAGTTCTTAAAAATATTATGACACCTTAAATTGTTCTAATGACTTTAAAGGCGACATCAGCACGCCAGTTTCAGCAAGAACTTTCATACTATACATAATCACCATACTATACCATCAAATGTCAAATTGGGAGGTAAGATCAGAGAGGAAGAATATGATCTTTAGTTTGTGGTAAGATGTTTCTACCAAAACATTTTCCCTACTGTTTTCCCTACTGTTTGTAATTGAAATTTACAAATATTAAAGGTCCTGTTACACGGTGCAACTTTTCTTGCAACTTGCAATGCAATTCTACTTTTCAGAGACGTAAATTTGGCCACTATGAAACTTTTATGTTTATTACACTCCATGTACGTTTCTTAAACTTACATTTTTAATACTCTGCACTGATTTACATCTCTTAAGAATAGAATCGCATTGCAAGTTGCAAGAAAAATTGCACTGTGTAACATGGTCTTTAATAGATAAATCAATTAATAGCCAGTCATAGTGGGCCCTGTGTGTAGTTTTACTGACTGACATTTATTATAATAGATTCTTTGCAGAATCAAGACCCTGACCAAGACCCCGACCAAGACCCTGACCCAGGCCTTAAACAAGACCCTGACAAAGGCCTTGACCAAGACCCGGACCAAGACCCCGACCAAGACCAGCCTTGAACAAGACCCTGACTAAGAGAGTTTTGATGATATCAGAGAAAGTAATAATCATGATGCATTTGGTTAAGGTACATATCAATTATAATACACATATTTAATGAACATCGATAAACACTGAACATCGATAAACACTTTGGAGATGAACAGAGAACAAACCGAGTTGCCAAAGCTGCACTTGTCTTTATGGCAAGGGGCATCACAGAAAACTGGAAGCAACCTCTTGGCTACGTCCTGGTTCATGAGGCTTGTCCAAGCAAAAATATTAAATCCAAGTTATTTGAAATGATTGATGAATTGACATCAATGGGCTTATTCGTTAAAAGCATTATATCTGACTTGGGTTCAAACTTCCAGAAGTTACTTTGCGAGTTGAATGTCACCCCTGAAAAGCCTTGGTTTTTGCACGCGGGCAAGAAGATTATGTATTTTTTTGATCCGCCACATCTCATTAAGGCAATACCTAACAATTTAATGGAGTACGATTTTCACTTCGACCAGAAAACTGCATCTTGGGATGACATTGAAGTTGTTTATGAGCGAGATAGAGAACAAACTTTAGGCTGCTGTCCAAGACTAACAAAAAAGCATCTAAATCCAAACAGATTTTAGAAGATGAAGGTTAAGTCGGCAACCCAACAAATGAGTCAAACAGTAGCTGCCACCATCTGCATGTATGTATCACTTGCTGCACTCCCAGAGACTGCAGTTGGAACATCTGAACTGATAGCAAAAAACATGGATAACATTTTTGATTGTTTAAACAGTTCAAATCTGAGAAGTGCAAAGATCCACAAAAGGGCTATTTCCAAGGAATCATCACAACATGGATTCTTTAATGTTAATGATATGATAAAATTCCTTAAATCAATTAAAGTCATCAACAGACAAACTCAAAAAGATGTCACCAAGCAGATCAGATGCCTCAAGGGACTACAAATGACACTAAATTGTGTAATGATCTTGTCAAAACATCTTAGTCAAGACCATGCCTTGCAGTTCCTGATGACCAGAAGACTAAATCAAGATCCATTGGAAAATTTTTTTGGTTTAATCAGACAACAAGGTGGGAATTCTGATAACCCAACACCTCTACAGTTTACCAAGGCATTTCGCAAGTTGTTTGTTGACATGTTCCTAACTCCTCTGTCATCTGGTAATTGTGCTGAAGATTTTAACAGCTTTTTATTCGGATTATCACCAAGGAAAAAGAGAACTGGAAGAAATCATGCGTGGACTGCGTAGAACAAAGCTAGAAAACAAAGGTTATGTTAATATTATCTGGCTAATTTATTCAGTAACCTGGCAACCCTGGATTATACGTCTTTCTCCTAGCATGGCTTCATGATAATATCATAATAGTATTTGAGATGCTAATCAAGAAAGAATCTCATGTAAGAAACATTTAACTTTTACAAATCATTTGCATAAAAATGGATGTTGTGATTTGTGCCAATTCTAAGTTCTGAACACTATGGCATGCTATGCAAATATATTTCTGGAAAGTATAAAAATGGAAGGAAATGCCCATAAAAATAACTTTTAATGGTTTTTTTAAAATCAAAGCTTACCTTATTTGCAAATTTGATACAAGCCAGATTCAGATTGGACGAACCACATGTTTGTCATGGTGCTAATGCTTCCACTCAGCAAAAATAGCTTTCCTTTTACTGAGAGGGTATGCCTGTTCCACTCTGTACTTCCTTTTTCTCTGTGGTGGGCCTGTAGTGGCGATCTGCGTAAGTTGCTGTTGGTTCTTAGTTAGCAGGTGATATTTATTTTGCTGCTTGAGTTGTAAAATTGATTTAAATTCATATTAAGTGGTGATTTTGTAGCATTTAGTTTTTGTAACTTATCTTGTATAGTATTGGCCAGATACAGTAACATGTTGTTGTGTTTAAAAATATGCTACCAGTTTAGGTACAACCAGTTTTTGGTTTTGTTTTATTTGTTAAAATGAATGTATGCTAAATACAGACAGTACTGACAGTACATTAAATTATTACTGTATGTATTTGATGTTTCATATTTTTTAATTAAGGTGTCTGTTTTGGCTAATAGGTATTTTTATTAAGATGCTGGTCTTTGGCAATTCAAATAATCATTGATAAATAATCATTGCATTGGGTCACCCTGATGCAGCCAAATATAATTTACATATAGATGCCTTTAGAACACTTTTAATCTTCCCATTATTCATTTGTATTCAATGCATCAATAATCCAGCA